GCTAGCCTCCAGTACAGTACTTGTCTCAGATACATGGGCGATGTTCGGCAGCCACAGGGGATCCAGCGAGGGATGGAGGGAGGGATCAAACTTACAGCTAGGGTTTCTAGTTTGGGCCCGTCAACTTAGAGTCAACTGTTGTTGACTCCCAAGTTCGGGGACTTCGCGCAAGCAGAATGACTGGGGGGGTAGAGTTTTGCCCAATCCCGCGAAATCGCGCTTCGTTTTATTATCGCCAAGTGGCATGACTTTGATCGCAGGAACCGCGATCTGTTTTATTGTTCCCACAACTTTCAAGAATGAACCAGTTAAGTTTAGTGGGTCGCATGTACTGCGCTGCCCGCGGGCAAAAATAAACCCCTATTGGAAAGGCATGTGTTAGGGATGCATCAACCCTAAACACCTTGCCACTAGGTGATGAATAGGGTCCACCTTTCGGAGGAGGGAGGAACGAAGGAGATGGACCCTAAAATGACGGGTTTCTGTGCACGCATGTGTTTAGGGTCCACCTTTCGGAGGAGGGGGGAATGAAGGAGACAACTTGAAGGCACGATGCGCCCACAAGTACCACAACTCCTCCTCTTCGAGCTTCGAGATATTGCAGCTGATGTTAGCCCAATTCCTTATTGCCTTCAAGATTTATATTTGGAGAAGCAGGCGCCAATCTACGAAGAAACGACAACGCACATCCTACAGCATTAAGCGGGCACAGAAACTTCGCTTCCTCCTCTTCGATAGGAGCGGCAGACCCTCTATTCACCCCAACCTGAGATTCTCATGGCTTTACGGAAACTCGCTCCGACCCCCGTAGACGGCTACCTGCATGGAGCATCTCCCCAGTCTGCTGGCGGTTGTCCTTTAGGACAAAGAAATAACGTGTGTTCCACGTGCTCCTTATAGGATGCTGGCCATCTCGGCCATGTTTCTAGATAGCTCTATGATATTATTCTTTGTACATTGATTAGGATCAATATATAACCTTAACCTTAGAATTCACGGGCATCCAATCTCCATGCCCCGAATACTAGGGCGGAGTATTTCTACCATGTCGGGGAATTCGGGGGAGGATGCGACGTGGAAGAAAGCCTAGCGCGGGGCTCGCGTCGCGTTTTGGCCCACGCTCGACATGATTTCATTTTTTTCTTGGGCTGACCGTTGTGTTTTGCCTGGTTCGGCATGGTCGAACCTTGAGGCCCGGCGTTTTCATGCTCCACTCCATCCCCTCCCATCACACCCCGGTGGCTGCCGAACATCGCCCTGGTTCCTACATATTTTTCATGCTCTGCTCAGCTTTTCTTACAGATCTACATCCTCTGACACTGCTCTCCCGCCTTACACATAGATTCAGCGACGTTTGGTACCTCTTCTCGTGCACTCGAATAGAGTTGATTTGAAATGCTTATAGCTCCCGTTCAGTGTGTCTCAACGGATGTTCATTCGTCGCTCCCATTTTGCCCGTGGGAACGACGGATCCGTCGCTCCCTCAGCGACGGGTCGGCGGAACTGAAACTCCGCCAGCTGGGGCTTGTTGGGACCCTCTCCACGCGCGCCAGTTCCCCGTGCACGTTCCCCATCAGCGACCCGGAAACAAATCTGGTTTCGCAAAAGCAAATTCCCAGGAGAACCAGCTCGCGAAACCACATGCGAACACATATTTCCAGGTCACAAAAACAAACTTTGCCAAAATCATGCCGTGCGAACATTGCGACACGTGCGCGACTCACCTGGACGAAACAAATCGTCCTGCGAGGGGCGTGCGACGCGTGTTGTTGGCTTCGTCAACGTCGTCACTCGTCAGGCATGAGCAAAGCGCGAGCTGGACGTGGAACCATGCACGAGGCGATCACCATGACCTCTCCTCTGCTGCCACGTGCACATAGAATCGAGACGCACCGGTTTGACGGTTCCTTATCCACATGGAAAGGTTCCCCGTCAGCAAGCTACAATGCCGTTGCGCGGACCCAACACCCCCTACCATCGAAAGCGTTCGCGCACGTAAAAAGAAAAAAAGAAAATAAACGTCTGCATAAGGAAAGTCGTTGTGTGCGTGTACCGTTTGTGTATGGGCAAGGTATCTACTGTGTGTGTTCCCAAAAAATAACATGTGCATGAGCATGGGAAAACGGTGTCAGGTATGGAAATAGCATGCTATGCATATAACGATGTGTTCCTCGTGCACCTTCACACGTAGTTACATTTCTTTCGTGTTCTGCAGAGGCGTGACAGAGGGACGTGCGACATACACGTTTGCATGCGGAAAATAGTTGAAACAGTCGCACAATGTTCTAGCCCTCAATCTTCTAAAGGTTTTTAGCATACGCAGACGCGCCAAACCAAAGACAAGGGTGTCAAGTGACACGAGAAACATTTAAATCATCGTGTGCAAACACACCAAAGGACAAAGACAAACCTTGACACGTGTGCCTACTGTTCGTGCAACGAGAAGGGTGATGCCACGGAGGGCAAATTCGCTGAAATATATTGTGCAGACTCAACTGTACCGTACAGTATCGTTTGCGCACGTTTGAAATACGTGTACAGACGTGCACATCAGGAAGTTCATCAAGTGCAAATGACCTTCAAGACGACTACCCCATCCGCACATGCACATGTAAAGAAATGACCCTTGCAAGGCCAGGAGTTTCAATGAGTGGAGGGGTTACCAAGTGTCCTATATTTGTTTTTGGGTTTCGTAGACACATTTCAGCCGCCAGATGCGGAACAGGAATTTTAAAGTCGTGCAGATTCACCGCCCTACGCGTACCTTTCAAAACAGTACGCATAGGCAAACCCAACCCGTGCACAAGAATATGCAGCTACTACAAAAGATCTGTCCCGATCCGGCGGAGCGTATGCTTAACTAAATGTGTTGACATAAAACAGGACGTGCATAGGCAAAAATTACCCCGTACACAATGTAGAACCAAACGCCGCAAGGCATTTTTCCAACTCGACCACCTCCCCTTAACATAGATTTTTTCCACACCAAATGTTAAAACTCGAAACACCTAACTCACACTTAAAAGCACACCTAACGCAAAGGGTGCATACCCAACTCTGCCCACGAACAAGATGTGCACACGAAGATTGCCAAACCTGGCAAACGTGAGAATGCACGTGAGAGAACTTCGTTTGCGTATCTTGTCGTCTTCATGTGAACTCAAAATTTACTGCGTCTGCGCGAGAAAAAAATTGGTCGTGGGCAAGTACATTTATCGTCACGCAGCCGATTACGCTTTTTGCGAACACGAAAATATATGCGTCCGCGCGAGATTGTTTTTGTTGTGCGAAAGTATTTGTAGGGTTTTAGTCGTGCGACTGATCACGCTTCAGACGAGGTGTAGGTATGCACACGATGTGCAAAGGTTTTTAGACCCAATAGAACCTATGCTTAACAAGACATGTTAACAGAAAACAGAATGCGGAAAGGCAAACTCCCCCCGTGCACAAGGTAGAAAGAAAACACAAGTGCTGGAAAAGATTTTTCCTGCACAATGGATCCCGTGCTTAACATGTTTTTCCTGACACGATGTAGCACACCTAATACACAATTCGCACAGGGCTAAAAGTCCCTACCATGCAAAGCGCTTGCGCTTGTAAAAAAGACGTGTGCATAGGGTGCACGTTTACAGTATTAGTCGAGCACGCTGACCAGGGTGCCTTATACATGGCCAGCCCAGATGCACGCGCGTCACATGTGGCAACCAAAGTTGCGCGTGGCGCTGAACACGTTCTGCGCACAGTACTCGACGAGCAGGTTCTGCACAGTGTCTTTGACGATGTATAGGTTTACAGTACCCAATCTCTTTGGGTCACAACACGTCGTTACGTCAGGCAACCGATTGTGCCTCTGACGAAGTGTAGTTGTGCACACGAAATTATTTTGTTGTCTGCGTACGAGCACGAATGAAATGCGTCCGCATGAGTAACATTTTTCTTCCCCATAAGATGTTATTTGCCGTGCTTGCTTACGAAGGTGCGCAGACATTTTGGCGTGCGTGCAGATGAAGATGCACGGGCAGATACATGTTACATGACGGAGAGTTCTCTCCGCATGCAACCGACCTTGTCTCTGACGAGGTGTGTTGACACAACTGTTTTTGTCGTCTATGTGCGAGGACGAAATTGACTGCGTCCGCGTGTGGTTGTACGTACATTTCTTGTCTTGATCACAATGTTTTTTTTCGTGCGCGCTGACGACATTCCACGGGCAGAGGCATCTAGTGCATGAGAACATTTTTTCCTCGGTCAACATGCTTTCCATCGTTATTTGTTTCAACGAAGTCATGTTTTACTGGTACAAGAGTGTTTTTGGAGTGTATTCTTTGTTACGCTTAAAGAGTTTTGTCCAAATAAGCCATCCGTAACATAAGTCGCAATCTCGTGACGAGATGATTTCATTGCTCGCGTGGACACGTGGTTACTCGCCAGATGTCGAAAAACCCCAACCCCGTTGAGATGTATTCTCGGGTTTGTCTCAACGGATTTTGCATCCGTCGCTCCCGTCGCTGGCCCCTGCATGTCGAGCCCAGTTTGCAACCCATTCTGTCGCTCCCCGTCGTTGGTCCCAAGGGGGGCCAGGTGTTTTCCCTTCATCCAAAGCTTCCCGTTGAGATGAATCATGCTGAAAAACAGTGGGAGCTTAGCCAATCGTGGTTTCGCGGGCGTGCACTCGCTCGCCATGGGCGGCTGGATGGCCAAGCCACCAGTTTATGCCGGTTTCTCGTGTGAATCGCTGGCAAAGTCGACCAGCTAAGGCCAATGCGAGGGCTTCGATCCGAGCAAGCTAGAAGGTAACAGACGAGTACCTGACGACCCGAGCTATGTACTTCCAGCCCCACGCGAGAAACATGAGCCTTGGACTTCGACCGCCCTTCTACTACTCTATACCCGCGATTCATGAGATTCCCTGCCATGCCAAATAGACGCGAGAGCGAGTTAGGGTTAGCACGTGGGTGCCAACCGTTTCCCGCGCGCGTGTCCTGCTGGCAGGTCTCGTCATGGCGTCGTGGTACGCGCCGTCCGAGAAATCCTCCGCGCCAACCCAACCCACGCCGCTCCACGTCGCCCTCGTCGCCTTGTCCCACGCCTCCCTTTCGTCTGTCGCTTCAACGCTCTCCATCTCCGGCGGCGACAATGCTGCTGCCGCCGCAAAAACCATCGCCGGCCGCTGCATTAACGCGCCCCCCGCCGTCCGAGGTGCTGCTAGCAGAGTCGTTGCTCCGCGCGCGGGCCCGCGGCTGGTGGTGGTGAGCGCGTACGACGGCGTGCTGGACCCCGACCTGTTGGGGCGCGGCGGGTTTGGCACGGTGGTGGCAATGCGGCGAGTGGAGAGCGGCGAGATGGTGGCGGTGAAGCGCGTGTCGCGCAAGCAGAAGGTGGAGGCGGCGAACGAGGCGATGCTGGCAGTGTCACTGAGCGAGTGTCCGGGCGCATCTAGCGTGCGCAAGGTGCATCTGGCGTGCGCGAGGTGCATCTGGCCGACCACCATGCATACCTCCTCTCCGACGTCTGCTTTGGCGGCGACCTCAGCGACCCCCGCGCCCTCCTGAAGCGACGCTCCGCTGCCGCCGCAGCCATGCCCGTGGAGAAATGCAAGGGCAGGCGGTGGTGGAGGAAGGCGAGCAGCGAAGGCGGGTGAGGAGGGGGAACGGCGGAGGCAGAGGCGGAGGCGCTGGAAGTGGTGAAGCACGTGAGCGACGCCGTGGCGTTCTGCCACGAGCGAGGCGTGGGGCACTGCGACATCAAGCGAGGCGTGGGGCACTGCGACATCAAGCGAGGCGTGGGGACTGCGACATCAAGCGAGGCGTGGGGCACTGCGACATCAAGCGAGGCGTTGGGCACTGCGACATCAAGCGAGGCGTGGTGCATTGCGACATCAAGCGAGGCGTGGGGCACTGCGACATCAAGCGAGGCGTGGGGCACTGCGACATCAAGCGAGGCGTGTGACACTGCGACATCAAGCGAGGCGTGGGGCACTGCGACATCAAGCGAGGCGTGGTGCACTGCGACATCAAGCGAGGCGTGGGGCACTGCGACATCAAGCGAGGCGTGGGGACTGCGACATCAAGCGAGGCGTGGGGCACTGCGACATCAAGCGAGGCGTTGGGCACTGCGACATCAAGCGAGGCGTGGTGCATTGCGACATCAAGCGAGGCGTGGGGCACTGCGACATCAAGCGAGGCGTGGGGCACTGCGACATCAAGCGAGGCGTGTGACACTGCGACATCAAGCGAGGCGTGGGGCACTGCAACATCAAGCGAGGCGTGGGGCACTGCGACATCAAGCGAGGCGTGGTGCACTGCGACATCAAGCGAGGCGTGGGGCACTGCGACATCAAGCGAGGCGTGGGGCACTGCGACATCAAGCGAGGCGTGGTGCACTGCGACATCAAGCGAGGCGTGGGGCACTGCGACATCAAGCGAGGCGTGGGGCACTGCGACATCAAGCGAGGCGTGGTGCACTGCGACATCAAGCGAGGCGTGGGGCACTGCGACATCAAGCGAGGCGTGGTGCACTGCAACATCAAGCGAGGCGTGGTGCACTGCGACATCAAGCGAGGCGTGGTGCACTGCGACATCAAGCGAGGCGTGGGGCACTGCGACATCAAGCGAGGCGTGGGGTACTGCGACATCAAGCGAGGCGTGGGGCACTGCGACATCAAGCGAGGCGTGGGGCACTGCAACATCAAGCGAGGCGTGGGGCACTGCGACATCAAGCGAGGCGTGGGGCACTGCGACTGTCAAAGTATAAATGTGCTATATGTTTGTAGGCTGTAGTGGGGTAGCCAATATGGGGTACAACCCCAACTAGGGTTTCCTATTTGTACCCTTGCTTCTTTCAATCCAACCATTCTTGCCTCATAGTTTTCACATGGTTTCAGAGCAGTAGGTCCGTTAGGACCGATTTTTTTTTTTCCCGGGCCCACCAAACGCCTGCCTTACTGCGGTTACCGCGCTGCCCCACACGCGCCCTGCCTTGCCTGCCCGTCGCGCTGCCCCTAATCCCACGCCCGGCCCCTTCCCTGCCCGTCGCGCAGCCCTAAGCCCGTTCCCGGCCCCTACCTGCCCGTCGCGCTGCCCCTACGCCCGCGCCCGGCCCCCTGTCTACCGTCGCGCTGCCCCTAGGCCCGTGCCCGGCCCCTGCCTTACCGTCGCGCTGCCCCTAAGCCCGCGCCCGGCCCCTGCCTGCCTGTCGCGCTGCCCCTACGCCCGTGCCCGGCCCCCTGCCTACCGTCGCGCTGCCCCTAAGCCCGCGCCCGGCCCCTGCCTGCCCGTCGCGTTGCCCCTACGCCTGCGCCCGGCCCCCTGCCTACTGTCGTGCTGCCCCTAAGCCCGCGCCCGGCCCCTGCCTGCACGTCGCGTTGCCCCTACGCCCGCGCCCGGCCCCCTGCCTACCGTTGCGCTGACCCTAAGCCCGCGCCCGGCCCCTGCCTGCCCGCCGCGTTGCCCCTACGCCCGCGCCCGGCCCCCTGCCTACCGTCGCGCTACCCCTAAGCCCGCGCCCGGGCCCTGCCTGCCCGTCGCGCTGCCCCTAAGCCTGCGCCCGGCCCTCTGTCTGCCCCTGCATCCTGCTTTACGCCTGCCTACCTTGCGCTGCTGCCATAGCGACCATGAATGTGCTAGCTTTCGAACCTGACGGTCGCCCGATCGCATTTCCCACTTGGCTTGACGATCTGCAGCTTTTCCTTCTGACTGATGCCAAAGATGGTGTCATGCTTTTCGACTACGTTACTGGCACTGCCGCTGCTCCTGCTGACAGTGCTCCTGCTGTAGACCGCTCACAGTGGCTGACTCGCGATGCTGCTCCGCGCCTTGCTATCCGCAACCATCTGCCGATCGCTGAGCGCGCGCATTTCAGTCAGCACAAAACTGCCAAGGCACTTTATGACGCAGTAGTTGCACGCTACTCCTCCCCAGCCACTGCCGCTGTAGGAGGCCTCATCCTGCCCTACCTGTTCCCTGACCTGTCCTCCTTCCCCACTGCTGCGGACTTGATTACTCACCTTCGCGATAGTGAGGCCCGCTTTAACGCCGCTCTTACTGACGAGTTCCGTGCCAAGAACCCCCCTCCGCTCTACTTTACCCTCTACCTCCTCGTCACCCGCCTCCCTGACACCACGGTCAGGGACCACTTCCTCGCCATGGACGCCCCCGAGATCACCCTAGACGACTTCGAGCGGCAGCTTCTCGCAGCAGAGAAGAATCTCCTAGTTGTCGGTGCCGCTCGAGGCACTCCCCGCACTCCCCTCTTTGAGGGGTGCTCCCCCTCCCCCCTCGCCCCCTCGTACGCCTCAGTTGCTACTCCCGTTGACCTTCCTGGTGCTGAGAAGGTCGCAGCTGCTTCCGCTCCTAGTGGGAAGCGCGGCGGGGGCCGGGGCGGCAAGGGGGGCAGGGGTGGCGGGGGTGGGGGTGGGGGGAGCGGTGGTGGGGGCGGTGGGGGTGGTGGGGGGGGTGGAGGTGGTCGTGGGGGTGGTGGAGGTGGCAGCGTCGGCAAGGGGGGAGGAGGCGGTGGTGGTGGGGGTGGTGGTGGAGGCGGGAGTGGGACCGGCCAGCAGCAGCAGCAGCCGCAGCAGCAGCAGCAGCAGCAGCAGCCTCCTCTCAGCAGCTTCATGACTGGTATGCTGGGCGTGGGGCGTCTGGGGGTTCTGGTCGCTGCCCCTATGTCATTCTCACTGGCCCTCGCAAGGGCCGCACGTGCAACGGCCTTCACCCTGAGTCCCGTTGCTTTGCGCGCCTCAGCGACGCCTGGCGCGCCAAGTTCCCTGATGCCACTGAGTTCCCCAACTGGGCTGATCTGCTTAGGCGTGATGTCAATGTCTATGATCTTGACTATGATGCAATCCTTGCTGCCATGTATGCATTGACTGTTAGTGCTGAGGGTGACTACTACTTGTGCGTTCCGCCTGACCCAGGTATAGAGACTGCAGCCCTAGGTGCTCGTGCGTCTGACCCCTCTGGTACTGCGTCCGCGCAGGCTTTGCACACGTTTACACTTGACTCTGGTGCTTCTCGCTGTTTCTTTCGCGACAGCACCGCAGTCACCCCCCTCCCTGCACCTGTTCCTGTCTCGCTGGCTGACCCCTCTGGGGGCCCAGTGCTTGCACGTGCCACGACTGTGCTTCCGTGCCCGGCGGTCCCGTCTGGTGAGCTGTCAGGTCTCCATGTTCCCTCGTTCTCTACGAACTTGGTGAGCATTGCCGTCCTTCAGGATCACTGGGTTGACACCTGGACTCCTGGAGGACAGCGTGTGGCGATCTGTACCTGCTCCAAGACTGGCCGCCACCTGGCCACGTTCACCCGTGAGCCGGGGTCCAGTCTTTACACTCTCACCACTGTTTCACGCTACACTCCTTTGTCTCCACAGCTGTACGCGTCTGCTCAGGTAGCCACCCAGTGTGAGTGCCGCCGCCTGTCCCACGACACTCTCCTGTGGCACCACCACCTTGGTCACCCCATCCTGCCTCGCCTGCGTGGCATGCACTCTCGCTGTCTGGTCTCTGGTCTTCCCAGGTCCCTGCCTGCACTCCCTCCCTCACCTGCGTCGTCCTGCATTCCTTGCGTCAAGGGGCGGCAGCGCGCCGCTCCTCACTCCTCCTCGTTCCCTCCCACAGAGGCTCCGCTGCAGACGCTCCACTTGGACGTGTGGGGCCCAGCCCGCGTCCAGGGTCAGGGCCGCGAGCGCTACTTCCTGCTGGTCGTCGACGACTACTCGCGCTACACCACGGTCTTCCCCTTGCGCAGCAAGGGGCAGGTCCCTGATGTTTTGATCCCCTGGATCCGCGCTGCTCGTCTCCAGCTTCGCGAGCGGTTCCAGACGGACTTTCCTGTCCTGCGTCTGCACTCTGACAGAGATGGTGAGTTCTCCTCTAACCTCTTGCGAGCCTTCTGTGCGGAGCACGGCATCCGCCAGACGTTCACGCTTCCGGCCTCTCCGCAGCAGAATGGGGTTGCTGAGCGCCGCATCGGCTTAGTCATGGAGGTCGCTCGTACCTCCATGATCCATGCGGCTGCCCCCCATTTTCTGTGGCCGTTTGCGGTCCGCTACGCCGCGCATCAGCTCAACCTCTGGCCCCGTGTCTCCTTGCCGGAGACCTCGCCCACACTGTTGTGGACGGGGAAGGTTGGCGATGCGTCGCGCTTTCGGGTCTGGGGTGCTCGTGCCTTTGTCCGCGATACCACTGCGGACAAACACTCCGCCCGCGCCATTCCCTGTGTCTTCCTTGGTTTTCCTCCTGACGCGCCTGGCTGGCAGTTCTACGACCCCACCTCGCGCCGTGTCTTTGCGTCTCAGGATGTCACCTTTGACGAGTCCGTTCCCTTCTACCGTCTCTTTCCCTACCGTACCTCCCCTCGCGCCCCCCCGCCGCTCTTCCTCACCCCAGGTCCTCCCCAGGTAGACCCCCTTCCCGCGCCAGGTCCTGCCCCTTCAGGTGTTTCTCAGGTAGACCCTCCCGTACCTGCGCCTGTTGAGGTCACTGGTGACTCTGGTCCTGCTGGAGGTGTCGTTGGCTCTGGGGGTGCTGGTCCTCGGGGTGCGGAGCCTAGGGGTGCGGAGCCTGGGGGTGCGGAGCCTAGAGGTACTGAGCCTCGGGGTGCGGAGCGTGAGCGTGAGGTGCCTGGAGGTGCTGAGCCTGGGGGTGCGGAGCGTGAGCGTGAGGTGCCTGGAGGTGCTGAGCCTGCGAGTCAGGAGCCTGGTGGTACTACGCCTGAGGGTGCTGTGTCTGGGGGTGACGTGCCTGTGTGTGTGGAGACTGGGGGAGCTGGGCCTGGAGGTGAGCCGACTGAGGGTACTGCGCCTGCTGGGACGCGGTCCCCGTGGAGCGACCGCCTTCGTCCGCGTGTACCTCTTACCTCGCAGCAGCTGCACGACTGGTTCGGGCGCCGCCAGGATCGCGCTGCTGGAGCTCGAGGCTCCAGCCCCTGGTCCCGGAGGTGCTTGTACTGGAGGTACTGGAGCTGCCGGGGCTGGAGGAGCTTTGCGTGAGAGTTCTGCTGCTGGAGACCCTTGGACTGGGGGTGCCGGTTCTGGGGGTGCTACTACTAGTGGAGTTGGTCCTGGAGGTGCTGGAGCTGGTGGTTCTGGAGCTGCTGGGGGTCCTGGAGCTACTGGGGGTGCTGGTGCTGCTGTTAGTGGACCTGGTCCTGGTGGCGCTGTTGCTGAGGGGGCTGGAGCTGCTGGAGGTCCTGGTACTACTGCTGCTGGTGACACGGCGCCTTGGCGTCTGTTCTTTGCTCCGCGGTCTCCGTCTTCTCAGCCACCGTCTGACTCGGCACTTCGCCAGGTTCTTAGTCTCCCGTCGTCTACTGGTCTTCCCTTACAGCCTGGCTCACCACTGCCTGCTCCTTCTCCTTACTCTGAGCAGCCAGGAGGTCTTACTGAGCGTCGTGAGCCTGCGTCACGTCCTGTCTCGCCTGTCCGTCCTGGTCGTTCCGGTCGTCGTGTCTCTAGTCTGCGACAGCCGCCTGTTCGCAGCACGCCCCTGGTTGTCAGACGTCCTTCTCCCACTCAGCAGCGTGTTCCTCTGCCGTCTCCCCCTGCGTCCTCTCTGCCTGACGTTCCCGACCCTGAGTCTGACCGGTTTCGTGTTGAGCACCCTACTGTCATGCGTCTGTTAGCCACTGTTGTCACTGACCCGTCCTTTGAGTCTGCGTCTGCGTCTGCCTTGGTCGCTGAGCTGGTTGACTTTGCTGCTACCTGTCGTCTCGACTACACTGCCAGTCTTGTTACTGAGTCTGAGTCTGTCTGTCCTCCATCCGTCGGGGGTGAGTGTGCTCTTAGCACGGACGTCCTTGAGGACAGGCAGGAGGACCTTGACTGTCTTGCGGCTGCTGTACCTCATCTCATGGCCTGGCTGCTTGCCCCTGAGGGAGACCCAGATGCACTTGACATCCCTACCCCCCGCTCTTACACAGAGGCGGTCTCGGGTCCCTACTCCTCTCAGTGGCAGACAGCCATGGACGCAGAGATGGCATCCTGGAAGTCCACAGGCACCTACGTCGACGCAGTTCCCCCTCCTGGGGCGAACATCGTCGATGGCATGTGGATTTTTAGGGTGAAGCGGCCGCCGGGTTCTCCGCCTGTCTTCAAGGCTCGTTACGTTGCTCAAGGCTTCAGTCAGCGACAGGGAGTTGACTTCTTCCAGACCTTCTCCCCTACCCCGAAGATGACCACTCTTCGGGTGCTGCTGCACGTTGCCGCTCAGCGTGACTACGAGCTTCACTCCCTTGACTTCAGTACAGCTTTCTTGCAGGGCAGCCTGCACGAGGAGATCTGGCTGCGCCGTCCTCCTGGCTTCACTGGGTCTTTCCCTCCTGGTACCCAGTGGAGCCTCCGACGGCCAGTTTACGGTCTCCGCCAGGCGCCACGTGAGTGGCACGACACACTGAGGACGACACTTGCGGCTCTTGGGTTTTCTCCCTCCACTGCAGACCCTTCACTGTTCCTGCGCACAGACACGTCGCTGCCGCCGTTCTACATCCTCGTGTACGTCGACGACTTGGTCTTTGCTACTGCTGACACTGAGGCACTTGCCCTTGTGAAGTCGGAGCTGCAGAAGAGACACACGTGCACAGACCTGGGTGAGCTGCGCAGTTACCTTGGCTTGCAGATCACCCGGGACAGAGCACGCCGCACCATCACCCTGACTCAGTCACACATGGTGCAGCAGGTCCTTCAGCGCTTCGGCTTCCAGTTCTCCTCACCTCAGTCCACTCCTCTGTCTACCAGCCACTCGCTCTCAGCTCCACCTTCGGACGAGTCCGTAGAGCCGAGTGGCCCGTACCCAGAGCTTGTGGGCTGCCTCATGTACCTGATGACCTGCACTCGACCTGACCTTGCGTACCCTCTTAGCATCCTAGCTCGCTACGTTGCACCTGGGAGACACAGGCGAGAGCACTGGGAGGCTGCTAAGAGGGTGCTGCGCTACTTGTGCAGTACATCAGGCATGGGGCTGGTGCTTGGAGGACAGGGCTCGGTTGTCCTCACTGGACACTCAGACGCCTCTTGGGTTGACGACCTGGCTACGCAGCGGTCGTCACAGGGTTACACTTTCAGCCTTGGCTCTGGTTCTGTCTCTTGGCGTTCCACTCGCTCTTCTTCTGTTCTCAGCTCCAGTTGTGAGGCTGAGATCTACACCACAGCCATGGCTGCACAGGAGCTACGCTGGCTCACCTACCTTCTGACTGACCTGGGTGAGCGGCCTCGTTCTCCTCCAGTGCTGTACGTCGACAACAAGGCAGCTCTTGCCTTGTGTCAGGAGCACAGCTGCAGCAGCGTGGCCAGCTTCGCCTTGCGTACGTGGACTCGAAGGCCAACACTGCTGATATATTCACCAAGGCGCTTCCGCCTAGTGATCATCAGCGGCACTGCACTGCGTTAGGCCTTGTGTCCACGTTCTCTCACTTGCTTACTTCTTGACTTTGTTTGTACTGTGATCAATTTTTATGTCCTTGCATGCTTGCACTTGCTAGGCTTTGATCACTGTACTACTTGTGTTCTTCTATATAAATCTGCATGTGAACTGGCCTTGTGGCCTTTGCTTGTGCTCAGAGAGTGTGGTGACATTGTGATCCACCCTGAGCTTGTTCTTTGCTTTGCTTGACTGGTCTTGTGACCCCTTGCTCTCCCCCACTTTGCCTATGGGGGTGTGTCAAAGTATAAATGTGCTATATGTTTGTAGGCTGTAGTGGGGTAGCCAATATGGGGTACAACCCCAAATAGGGTTTCCTATTTGTACCCTTGCTTCTTTCAATCCAACCATTCTTGCCTCATAGTTTTCACAGCGACATCAAGCGAGGCGTGGGGCACTGCGACATCAAGCGAGGCGTGGGGCACTGCGACATCAAGCGAGGCGTGGTGCACTGCGACATCAAGCGAGGCGTGGGGCATTGCGACATCAAGCAAGGCGTAGGGCACTGCGACATCAAGCGAGGCGTGGGGCACTGCGACATCAAGCGAGGCGTGGGGCACTGCGACATCAAGCGAGGCGTGGGGCACTGCGACATCAAGCGAGGCGTGGGGCACTGCGACATCAAGCGAGGTGTGGGGCAGTGCGACATCAAGCGAGGCGTGGGGCACTGCGACATCAAGCGAGGCGTGGTGCACTGCGACATCAAGCGAGGCGTGGGGCACTGCGACATCAAGCGAGGCGTGGGGCAGTGCGACATCAAGCGAGGCGTGGGGCACTGCGACATCAAGCGAGGCGTTGGGCACTGCGACATCAAGCGAGGCGTGGGGCACTGCGACATCAAGCGAGGCGTGGGGCACTGCGACATCAAGTGAGGCGTGGGGCACTGCGACATCAAGCGAGGCGTGGGGCACTGCGACATCAAGCGAAGCGTGGGGCACTGCGACATCAAGCGAGGCGTGGGGCACTGCGACATCAACCGAGGCGTGGGGCACTGCGACATCAACCGAGGCGTGGGGCACTGCGACATCAAGCGAGGCGTGGGGCACTGCGACATCAAGCGAGGCGTGGGGCACTGTGACATCAAGCGAGGCGTGGGGCACTGCGACATCAAGCGAGGCGTGGTGCACTGCGACATCAAGCACCACAACATCCTCTCCGCCTCGCCTCTCTCCAACCCCACACCTTGCCAACGCGCTGCTAGCCTTGCTGCGCCTGCGCGCCCCGCTCCTGCTGCCCGCCTCCTCGCCCGTCCCCTCGGTGCGTGCCTCTTCCCGGCTGACAGTGGGGGCAGTGCGCAGGTGATGGCGGAGGGGCAGCGCGCGTGCAGCACTCCCGCAGGCACGCCTGGGTACATGGCGCCGGAGGTGGAGGCCTTCTGCCGCCCTCGATGCCCGCCCGCCCCTGGCGCCACGAAGAAGGGAAGAGGAGTAGTGGCGAGAGCAGCAGGCGTGGAGGCAGAGGCAGGTGGGTATGGGCAGGAAGAGGACGTGTGGTCGCTGGGGGTGACGCTGTTCGAGATGATCGCAGGCAAGCGGCCGTACGCGGGGGAGGCGCCTCAGCAGGGCGAGTGGCACGCGCGCATGGAGGGGGCAGCGTGGGAGGGCATGTCTGAGGAGTGCCGCGCGCTGGTGAGCTGCATGCCAAGAGTGCGGAGGAGAGGCTCACCATGGCGCACTCGTGCCACCACCCCGCCATGATCCAAGCCTTCGGGAGCAGCGGCACGCACAGCAGGGGGGGATGGTGGTGAGTGTGATGCATGCAGCAAGGGTGGAGGGTGGAGGGGAGTGCGGAGCAGCAGGGGGAATGCAGGCGGCGTGGCGTGGCAGTGGGTTGAGGCAAGGGAGAGTGGGATGGCAAGGGAGAGTGGGATGGCAAGGGAGAGTGCGATGGCAAGGGAGAGTGGGATGGCAAGGGAGAGTGCGATGGCAAGGGAGAGTGGGATGGCACGGTGGAGCACCACTTTTTGCACCCTGCTCTGCTCGTCAGGATGTTTGGGATGCTGGATGGATTCGGTGGATGGAAGGAGACGGGTGGCTGGCACGCTGCCTTGCTTCTTGCTCGCTCATGCCTGCTCTCTCTGGCTGCTGTGCTTGTGGCTGCCTATACTGATGCTCGCACGTGTTAGCTCGGTTTCTCTTATAGGTGCAAATGTGTAGCTCAATCTAATGTAATGTGATATGATGTGCTAAAATGGATGCACTAAAGTTTGTTTCTACAGCAGATGCTGTACAGCAATGCATGCAGCCAGTCCATGCAGGCAGGCCACACGTTGAACATGCTGGTGAGTGTGCCCACTGTCCTTGATATTGTTGTATGCTATGGTCTGATCAGTCATCCAACTGTTAGTAATGAAAGATTACATCCGGTGCAGTGAACATGCAGCAGTTTGTTAGAGACTAAGGACGGAGTCTAGAACGTTTAGGGGCCGAAAGACCACAAAATCGTTGGACCTAATCTTTGGACAGAAAAGCCGACTTATCAAGAAACGCCGTCGACGAAAAGCGCACCGTTAGAATTCGCTCAAACTCGAGATGTTGTAGCCTTTGACCGTGGCTATCTTTCCCAATTTGAATCGCATCCAAAGATGGAGTATAACTCGAGTCATGAATATCAACGCACTAGGGGGTAAGTTGCCATGGAAACTTAACTTAATCACAAGTGTTTCTCACAAGTTTCACAAAGAGGATTAGAGTAGCTACAAACCAGGTAGGAGGGAAGAGAAGGACGAGAGGGAAGGTCCCCAAGGAGTCCCCAACCAAGGAAACCCCCATACCACACAATTCCCCTCTCTATAGGCACCCCAACTTTGACATTTGTCACTTTCCAACCCATGCCATCCACCTCACCCAACTTGGCCACACTTGCCAACCTGGTTTGGCTTCTCCCAACCATTTGGCAGCAATCTACAGTAGAGTGACGAACTATACCCCATATAGAGTCACTCCACAAATTCCCATAGTCGACGCATCACAATCAAAAATTCGAACGAACATAACTTTCTCGTTCTTGCTCCGATCGCGACGATTCTTGGTTCGTCGGAAAGCTCTCGAGCAGAGGAGTCAGTTGAAATATCTGCTCAAGCCAGATCACATTCACACACACTCAGAAAATCCAAACCACACCAAACACAAATTCTTGCACACGCGCACAAAACGCATGCAACACTCGAACATATGATGGGAGGCAAACAGACGTGAATGCGGATGATAACATCACACAACAAACTCCCCCTCTGGCTGCCAACCATCATCCCACATGTCATAGCTCAAGCATGCACCCTCAATGCACACTCATCCCAGCAAGCTTCATTCACTTCCAACACTCATCCCAATGGACAGTCATCTCCTTTCAACATCCCACTTCCAACATCTCCTTTTCGCTCAAATCTGCAACACCCCTCTGCAGCCTTTGTCTCATAGCGTTAAGTTCCACACCCTCGCAATATAGCCCTACAGCAAAAGGCTATCTCATCCTCACAAATCTGCTCAGCGACACTCCCAGCCGGTACCACTTTTGGCTTGCCAAAGCTCGAATAGGTCAGCCGGTCAGGAGGGCGCACATCCCTCCTAGGACGGTCAGCCGTACGTGCGGCACCTTGTGGAGCAATCTGCTGCTGCCGCTGCTGCCGCTGCTGCTGCTGCTCCACCTCGGCTTCTCCCCCATCCTCAGTCACCCCAGAGATCTCCTCCTCTGACACGGAGACTTCCACCTGCCTCGAAGGCCGTTGCACCTCATCGGCCTCAACAATCAGCGGTGTAGTTGGAAGCTTCTGCTGCTGCTGCTTCCACTTCTTGTAGTATAGGGACTCAAGGAACTTCACATCCCTTGACACAGTTAGCTGCTGGCTGGTCAAGTCCCATATCAACCAGCCCTTGTGATCCTTAGCAAGTCCCAAGTGCACACCCCATCTTCCAGAAGCTTCCAGCTTTCCCCTCTTCTCCTTCGGCACATGAAACACCACCATGCAGCCGTAGGCTCTCAGCATGTTGACTGCAGGTGCACTCCCATACCACTTGGTGTAGGGGACCCACTGCTTGTCCCCCACAGTCGCCAGCACCCTGTTCTTCACAAGAGCGACCTGCCTCAGTGCAGTCACCCAAAACGGATCCAGCAGCCCTGCGCGCCCAAGGAGAGTGCGAGCACCTTCCTGCAGGGTCCGGTTGAACCGCTCAGCCACGCCGTTCTGCTGCGGGTTGTAGGGCACTGTGAGCTGATGCTGAATGCCCTTCTTCTTCAGCACCGCCTCAAAATCAGCGCCAATGAACTCTCTCCTGTTGTCGGTGCGGATCACTTTCACCTTGTGTCCGCTCTCCCTTTGAGCTCTCGGCATCCACTCCTTAAGAACAGCCGCTGCCACCTCCCCCTTAGTCTTGAGAGGGTAGACCCACACCGCACGTGTGTGGTCGTCCACAATGGTCAAGAAATAGCGGCTGCCCGAGAGCGAAGTGGCCCTCGTGGGGCCCACCACGTCCATGTGCACAAGCGCAAGTGGTGCCTTGGCTGGTCCTGTGCTGCTGCTGAAAGGGAACTTGGTGAACTTAGTCTCAAGGCACGTAGGGCAGCTCCCAATCTCCTTTGCTGCCCCTTTCACCTCCAGCCCCTTCAAGCTCCCATCCTTCACCAACTTCTGCAGCATAGGGATGTTGATGTGACACAGCCTCTCATGCCACGTCTCCCAATCGGCCTCACCACTCCCGGATGAAGCCTTTGCCCATGCAGCTGTTGCATCCACACCAGCAAGCACCTCACCATGTAGATGCTGTCGCTGCTGCACCTTCTTGACTGCATCCAGGGCCCCAGCAGTTGGTGCAGTCTCCTCTCCTCCTGCAGTTGCTTTAGCCGCTGCTGCTGCCGTTGCCGTTGCTGGTGGTTTCCCATTCCAAGGGATGATGGGCAGCTGCCATAAGTCCTTGATGCAGCTGCTCTTCTCCTCCAGATCCCACAACAACAGCTTCCCAAGCTTCGCACGGCAGCTGGTTGGGCCGAAGGTGACTTTGGCCTTGCTCTTCTGCAGCCGGCGCACAGAAAGAAGGTTAGCGGACAAATTTTCAACCAACAGCACATTCCCAAGCCCCACAAGCTCCCCATTGGCTCCCATTACCTTAGCATTCCCAACACCAATCACAGGGAGCAAAGCACCTGAAGCGGCAGCCACAAACTTGATCTTCCCAGGGGGCTTTACCTCGTCAAGCAAATCTGCCCGTGGGGTCATGTGACTCGTGCAACCTGAATCAATCACCCAGTGAGTGAGGGGGTGCATCACAACCTTCCCAACCGAACCCACATCACCCTCACTCCCATTCACATCCTCAACCATGAGGAACATCCCAGGGGAGGCTTTACCTTGTGCACCTTCACCTTGTGCACCTGAACCTTGCACAGCACCACCTCGTGCACGTTCACCACTTGGCGGCTTCATGCCTGGGGGTGCCCATCCCTCAGGCTGGCTGAAACACTTGAACCACGGGTGTCCAGCCTTCTTGCAGTACCAACATGCACCCTCCATTCGGGTGCTCCCCCTACCACCAGAGCTCCCATGCCCCTCATTGTAGTCACCTCGGCCTCTCCCTCTGCCAAAGCCTCTCCCACGGCCTCGGCCTCTCCCTCCCCCTCTTCCTCTGCTTCCTCCTGCAGCTCCATACCCTTCACCATTTTTGTTGGCAGCACCACCTCCTGTGTGGCGCCTGCGGAAGTCCTCCTGCAGGATCTGCTGCCGTAGCCACTCAGGCGTCCACTTGTCCTGCTGAACGTTGAGGGTGGGGATGAGGTTCTCCCACGAGTTGTCGAGCACCGAGATGATCTTGGTGCACTGCTGCATCTCCGACACCTTGCTGCCCGCCGCTGCCATCCTCGCACAGGTGGCCTTGATCTTGTCAAAAACCGACTTCACATCATCTCCCGATCGCATGGAGATGGCCGCCAGCTCCTGTTGAAATCACAGGCAGGAATGGTGAACTAACAGCATGCAGGAGTACAAGTACTAAACCCTAATTGGGTTGTACCCCATATGGGCTACCCCACTACAGCCTAGACAATATGCAGCATATATGTTTGACACACCCCCATAGGCAAAGTGGGGGAGAACAAGGGGTCACACGACCAGTCAAGAGACGCAAAGCAAGCTCAGGGTGGATCTCAACGTCACCACACATTCTGAGCACAAGCAAAGGGCCGCAAGGCCAGTCCACATGCAGAGATATATATAAGCAACAAGAGCAGTACAGTGATCAATACCTAGCAAGAGCAAGCATGCAGGTATAAATATAGAGCACAGTACACACAAAAGACTACAGCAAGTGTGGAAACGTAGGCACAAGGCCTAACAAAGTACAAAAGCGCTGATGATCACCAGACGGAAGTGCCTTGGTGAATATATCAGCAGTGTTGGCCCGAGTGGCCACGTGTGCAAGACGAAGCTGACCACGCTGCTGCAACTCTCGAGCCAAGAAGTAACGCAGAGCGATGTGCTTCGTTCTGTGCTCCAGTCTGTGCTCCTCACACAAGGCAATGGCAGCCTTGTTGTCGACGTACAGCACTGGAGGAGAACGAGGCCGCTCTCCCAGGTCGGTCAGCAGGTAGGTGAGCCAGTGTAACTCCTGAGCAGCCATGGCGGTGGCGTAGATCTCAGCCTCACAACTGGAGCTGAGAACAGAAGAAGAGCGAGTAGAACGCCAAGAAACAGAACCAGAGCCAAGGC